AGTTAGACGAAAGCTAAATACTACACCGTGAGAGCTACTTCTAAAATCTTATCGGAACTAAGTGTTACACGATAGGGAGTTATTTCTAAAATCATAACTTTGGGTATGATCCTAATTCTATGATTTTCTGTGTGTAATTTTGTGATTCTATTTGTGTGATTCTATATATTTGTTGTGTTGGGTTTGATGTGAACATTGAATTTTAATGAAAAATTTTGTGATACTTCAATTTTATATCGAAAAATTTTAAAAATTTGTTATGATAAATATAAGTAAAAGTTTAAACTTAAATTTATGATATATCTTTTGTAAGATAAAATCATAAGATATTTAAGTCAAAATAAATAATAACAAGAAAATAGAAATTAAAATAGAAATTTCAGATAATTACTATTTGAATATGGCTAAAAAACTTGGACCTCGCGAAAAAGACCTACTAAAAATGATATTTCCCATTCATCGTGTACGTTTCAGCTGTACCGGTAACAATCAGCTAAATAATTGCGCGTTTTACATAATTAAAACCAAAACATTCTCGTCTGATTTCTATCATTTAATTTATATAAAAAAAATTGCAAGACTTGACCATACTATGTATGTTCTGTCAAGATCATTCTTTTAAGTTGGTTTATGACTCCCCAATTAATTCACACTGTTGAATCATGTTTTTTTCCCTTTACCATGAAACCGAAAAATTATTCTAACTCACCAGTAATTTTCAGAAATGAAATCTGCATATTTCTCCCAAGAGTTAACAATTAAAAATGTTGTAAAAGTGGGTATTGAAAACATTTTGATTCACTACAATATCTAGTGAGAAAGCAATTCTAGAAAGCACTCAACAAAAAGGAAATCTTCAGAGGGATTGTTCCAATTAATTGTTTGCTGTTATGAGAACTCGATTTTGTGTTGTTTTTAATGTCCATAATAGTAATGTTAAGATAAATTTGTATAAACAGTGTGGTATAAGCCATCATAGCTAAATATTATAGGCTATACTCAAAATGAATTTCATGTAGTAGATTAATATCTGTTTTTTTTTTTTTTATTTAAGATTAATGTCATGAACAAATTTTAAATTATAATAAATTATTTAATTCGATACTTTAATTTTTAAAATTTTTAATATGATATCTAAATTATTAATTTGATACTTTTAATATTGTTTTTTCATTATGTGTTATCATTTAAGCTAGTTATATTATGATGAGTATTATATTAATTAATTTGTTCATAATTTAAATATTATATTAAAGATTTAAAATTTTAAATATTATATTAAATATTTTATTATAATTAAAAAAGCATTCATAATATTAATTTTTTTTATTTTAATACAAATTTTAATTATTAAAAAAAATTTATCCGGATCACATAACCAAAAACCTAATGATATATAGTCTTTTCCTATATAATATCTCTTTCCTTTTGGCCATAAGGTTTAAATTATTGATAAAGGATGATCTTGAAATTTAATTAAATTAATTTATATTATTATTTAAAAAAAATATTATTCAATAAATATAAAATTTAAATTTTATAATTAATAATTTTCTTGCTTTTAGATTTCCAACTTACACGTTAAAAAAAAAAAAACGAAGGGAAACAAAACTTACCATTTCACTAAAAATAATGTAATGGGACCCATGCAACCTTTCTTTTAACACAAAAAAGAAAAGGGTTGTGCATCAAATCATCCAAAAAGAAAAACAAGAAATGCGCATCCAATCCCATCAATGAAAGATTGCAGAGAGTTTGTCTGCATTATTATATTTCTGCTCCGAACGTACAAACGTTATAATGGGAATATACAGAGTCTTCACTCGTCTCCTCGCTGTGTCGTGGCGTTTACGAATAAACCTTAGGACTTGCATTTATCATGAGAATGGAACTTTTACAGTTTCCCTACATTTGGAATCCGTAAAAAAAACATACATTACTGATCATTATTTTTTTTATAAAAAAAAGATGATGAAGTGATAAGCTCATAATAATTTTTATTTCAGTTGTTAAGTTAAAATTTTTTAATTCAATTAAATATTTAAATTAAAAATATAATTAAATAATTATTTAATCACATAAAAAATAATAATTTAATATGATTCAACTTAATCGATTTAAATTCACAATTAAAAAAAATATATTATTATAAAAAATTACAAATATATAATAATATTAATCAATAATCAAAATTATTACTCATAAACTCTCTCATTTTTCTATAATTTTGTAGAGTATTTTACACATAAACAATCAATACTTATGTAACTTATCATACTTATGTTAATTTTTTTATTTTGTTTTAATTTATTCAAACATATACATTTATAATGCCTTTTCAATTTACTTTAATTTTATAAAATTTTATAACTCTCTTAAAAATTTTTTTATATCTAATCATATACATACTTTCACTATTTATAAATTTACAAATTTACCTATCAAAATTATTTTTTTTACAATTTTTTTATATATAAATAATATTTAATTAATTTCAAATAAATCTTTATGAGATTTTAATGAGTATTCTCGACCAAAAGTTTATTCATTTTAAAGTTAAAGTACATAAAAAAATCCCAGAAAAAAAGAAAATCCAATTTAATTTTTTATCATAATTTTAGTAAATAAAAAGCTTCAGCAATTTTTCTTTTATTGGTGTTGTTGTTTTTTTTTTTTTTTCACTGCATCATTTCAACATTTCAAATCTGTCCATCAAAGAGAGGACATTCATTGAAATATTTTACCAAAGCAAGACTTCCCTGATATGGTATCCCTGGTACCTCTTTGGTTTTCTGGTTAAACACAGCGGTCTTTCGGAGTGTTTTCTTTACAATCTACCATCGTCATGAGCTAGGAGTTTATCTCGATACCTCTAACTGCTCTGTGTATATTCATAAAATGTTTGCTTGAATATAGAATATTAAATTTTTAATTTTAATAATTAATAGTTAATTTTTTATAATTTTAAATATATGTAAATTAAAAAAAGAAAATTTATTTGTTTGAATAATGTCTAGAAGACTATTTTGAGTTTTGATTGATTAAGTTGAACATTTTTAATGGATGGAATTTATAGGCAAATAAAGCAATTGAAATAAGTAGTTTTTAATTTTATTGTGAATGTGAAGATAGAAGGAAAGAGAGATGAAGTCATTCGAGAGAGGAGTCATCATTGGTTGAAGCTTTGAAGATAGAAAATGGATGGTAGAATCACATCTGAAAATTATTGATTGAGTATTTGACGAAAGAAAATGGATACACGGCAAACATTGGCTGAGCTTGAATATATAGGTATTATATGCAGTCCTATTCTTGTCTAGGTTAGTGGATACATAGAGCATAGAAGTAATAGCTACTTGCATCATGATTTATATAGCTATTCCTTTCAATGCTTTGCTCCAATCCACTTAAATATTTCATCATTCTCTTTTTTTTTCTTTCTAAGCAGCAAAATTGATTCTTATCTTTATAATATACTATTATAGTACTGTGCAATGGTCATGTCACTTTGATTTATATATAGCAAAATTATTTGATTTATTAATAATTTTTTAATTTTATTAATATGATTAAAAATTAATATATACTTTATTTTTTAATTGTAATTTGATATATTATTAGTTTCAATTTTTAATTAGACAAACAAAATTAATATAATTTTACATACCCTCAAAGTTTATTCTAAAAATCTAAAAAAAAAACTAAAAAATGAGACGTGTTATCTTATTAAATTTGCTTGAATAATTAAAAATTTTAAATGACAGCATATTAAATATTAACTATTTTTTTTAATATACTCTAAAGAGTATATATCACTTTATTAATATCGCTTGTGAAATTTAAAAATTCAATTATTAGTGTATTTAATGATTTATTTACATATATTTTTCAAAATGTAATCTTTGATTTTCTTTTTTTTTTTTCTTTGGAAAATTAAAGATATTATTAATAAAACCCAAACTTAGGGAGATTGTAAAATGGTTGGCTTTGTTTTAAATATGAAAAATATATGTTAATTTTTATATAGGTATTTAACTTAAAATTAATCATAAAATCTTGAAATATAGAATATAGAATATAGATAACTTAAAATGATTGGCTTCAATTAACCAATTCAAACATAATAAATACGGTCGATGAACTCCCGTTTTAACAAGAGAGTTTGCCAAATGACTGGTTTTCATGTAAACATGAACAAGATATGTTAAGTTTTATATAAGCAACCGAATTAAAACTTATATATTTCAGTTTATTGATACAAAATAGTTAATTATCACTTAATACTACTACTAGTATTTGCATGTTGGAGCAGTGTGCACGTGGCAAGTCAGAAATAAAGTTGCACAGAAAACAGATGCACTATCATTTGGAAGACACAATCAAGCACCTTAAACCGGAAAATGCAAGCTCCCAGCGGCCACTTACGGGCTCTTAAGTGGCCAAGAAAAGTTTGACCTAAGAGAGACCCCCATTAACTGCACGCTAACCAATCCCACTCTCAGACCCAATTTGCTTAACACGCAACAAAGTAGACTTGAGCCGTCTAAAGGGGGTTGGGGACAAGGTAGGACGGTGGAAGAGGAGGTTAATTCTACGCGAGTGATTAGCGATTGGGGAATGGTGATGAAAAGAAAGATGGGGAGAGTGGAGGGACCGCCGTTGGCGAATGGTGAACAATGTCACGTCCATTGGGGCCACCATGTCATCTATATGAAATATATAAACTACATTTCTCTCAATCCAATTCTTAAACTACTGTACAATACAATTCAACCCATTTAATTTTTTTTTTCTTCTAAAAATTAACAAATGAAAGTGATGAATTATTAGTACTTAAATTAAATAAATTAAAAGATTGATTTATAAAATATATAAATAAAAAAAATAATAAGAAGTGTATTTGGACGTCTCGTCATCCAGCGTTAGTCTTTTTTTTTTTTTTTCTCACTTGAATTTTTTTCTTATGGTTTGAAATCATATCTCCAATTTCACGAATAAAGAAAAAAGAAGCAAATCTTTCCCGTGAAAGATCCCACAGGGCCGCGGGGGAGCCAGCAGTTCTTACAATGAACCCTAAACACCCTGGATGGTAGTAGTATTACTACTATTTACCTAATCAAACAGAGAAGCATAGAGTCTGTAAATTGTGAGTGATAGCTCAGTATATAGATAAGCTTCTGTTCTAGAGAGACGACAGGAAAGGAAAAGCCCATCCTTCGGCCTTCTCTCCAACAATTGCAATTCAGATAAAAACAAAACCCCAAGTTGAAAAAAATTGGTGGGAAAATTAATCACAGCCGATCATCACCAAAAACCCAAAACTTTTTTCCTTTTGTTTTGAAGTCAATGGATTCTGTTCCTGGAAGGGGTGCTGCACCCAACCCAAATAGCATCAACGAGGGTCCGTCATCAGCTACAGCATCAGCTTCAGCACCGCCGGCCACGGTTTCACAACAAGGAGGAGCTGGTGAATCGTCTTCTTCCCCAGCTCCACCGAGTCGGTACGAGTCACAAAAGCGTCGAGACTGGAACACTTTCTTGCAGTACTTGAAGAACCATAAGCCCCCATTAACACTAGGTCGATGCAGTGGCGCACACGTAATTGAGTTCTTGAAATACCTCGACCAGTTTGGCAAAACTAAGGTTCACATAACGGTTTGTCCTTATTTCGGACATCCAAATCCACCTGCTCCTTGCTCTTGCCCACTCAAGCAAGCGTGGGGTAGCCTCGACGCGCTGATCGGACGGCTGAGAGCTGCTTATGAAGAAAACGGTGGACGTCCAGAATCAAACCCTTTTGGCGCAAAGGCTGTGAGGATTTATTTGAGGGAAGTCAGAGAAGCTCAGGCTAAAGCTAGAGGGATTCCTTATGAGAAGAAGAAGCGAAAAAGGTCTACTGTCACAACTACGGCTGTGGGGATCAATGTCTCGGTGGCTGCCACTCAAGCTGTTGATGGAGTTGGGGATAGCGGCGTCGTTGGTGGCGGAGATGAGAGTGGTGGTGGAACCGCGGCTAATGTTAGTACTGCCACCGCTGCTGCTGTTACTGCTACCACTACTAGCGTATAGTTTTTTTAACTGATTTTATTCTTTTTTGCTTCTAATAGCTGTTTTAAATGTGATTATGAGTTATATACATCGGGCGGTTCTCTCTGAAAATTGGATCGATATCCCATGAACCAAATTTAGTTAGAATTCTAGTTTTAATCTCTTTCGACCAACGTCTCTCCTTTTTCTGTTTGATAAGACTTTTTATCTTTCTAGTTTCTTCATTTCTTGTTATGCATGAACATGAATACTACCACATATAAAAACATACATATACAAGTTGAAACAAAAAAAACAAGAAGATAATAAGTTTTAATCTTTTCTTTTTTCTTCTATATATTCCATTTTGTATGTTTTTGGTTGAGTTGTTTTGACGGGTAGAGTTTAGGAAGAACAAGTAGTCTCGAAGAAGAAAAACCTTTTTTTGCTTCTATCTACATATCTTCTTCTTCCTCAACAAGTAGCAAATGTGTCACTTTGCATTCCAATCATGTCACCAACGAAACTTGGCTACTTATCATTATTGCTATTGGGTTGCTGTTTCTTTCCTTCTTTTGACCTGGTAAGCTCCAATCAGATATATGCAATTGTATGGAATTAATTTACAAGGAAGAAATCTATTTATTTTTCCTTTTTTTTTTAAAGAAAATTGCACCAATTTCCTTTAGTTTATTCTTCTTCCTTCCCATTATGGCCGTTTATACGCAGTGTTGGGTTAAGATTTTGTTTCTAGCTAGACAAACTTCAAAGTGTGGAGAGTGGAGACAAGAAGAGGCTTGTTGGGAAGAAGGGCAACACTGAACAGAACACAATCACTTGTTAGCTTGCCAAATCTTTTACTACAAAAGAAATTTCTCCGAGCAACTGTGCATCTGGTCCCGGCTTTCTTGTTTGGCTGGGATGGACTCCAGTAGCTTAAAGGGCCATAGTAATTTACGCTGTTATATATGCACACGTGCGCCTCTCTGAAATTTACATACTTTGCACTTTCAGTTTCAGGTGCTCTCCTCTCCTTTGTATCTTGCTCTAAGATTTTGAGTTTAAGGATATTAACTCTTTTGGATATCTCCCTCGTTTTATCTGTTTCTCACCTCAGGCGCTCATATTCTCTTTCTCCGATCTGATACCTATGAAAACAACATTTCTTTCTGATATCACAACAACAACAAAAAGATATAGCATCAATGAATATTTAAAATAATCCTTGTGATCGCTGCGTTTATTTTATTTGGGCAACCACCACTATGTGTGAAAAGAACCAGTAGCCAACCCTTTCTTCCATTCTATTGCATATGTAAGTATATATTTTCTTATTATTATAACTCACATTATATAATATTCTGTTTTGCTATAATAACATAGACCCACCAGTCATTCCCCAACACAACCCCATTTCTGATTTTCATTCGTAGAACCATATCCAATTAGATCATTGCTACATTTTTTGCTCTTTTTCTCATCATCGTATCTTTTAAATTGTTAATTTCTAGTATTGGTTTTTTGTTATTGTTCATCCTTTTTTCTTCTTCTTCTTTCATCAACCATTTTGAACATCCCTTCTTCATATAATTGCAGGGAACTTTCTTCTTTCTATCCATGGCTTAAGCTTTTTTTAGTATCATTTGTTATATAATAAATAAATTTCATTACTAGAATAAATATTAACCTTTTTCATTATTCGCCCTTTTTTCCCTTAATTTATCTGTATTCGTAACTTAAAGTACCCAATTGATTTCACAAAAGTCAAAAAGAGAAGCTAGTAGATTCCTTTTGTCTTTAAAATCTAATCATGCAAATGCCTCCTCTTTCAGCTTCTTCTTCTTCTCTTAACTTCTCCTATTTTCTTCTCATCCTTATCAGATTTAGCTAATTCTTATTTCTATATCATTAATTCATAATATAGAAAACCAAGAATTTGAAAAAAAAAAAAAAAGGAACAAGAGAAACCCCAACTAAATCCCTTGCGTTCGATCATGTTTGTACATATTACTATAGTACCAAGTGGGACAGGAGATTTCTGAATGAGTGAAAGCTCGAAAGGAGCAATGTCATTGTAAGAAAGTGAAAGCCCTTCTTTGCTGCTAATTTACTTGTTTCTTTTGTCGCTACCTAAGGGCTTTCATGGTTTCTCTCGTCAGGGGTGCAATGACCAATGGTACTTCATTAAATTTTAAGGGATAGAGTGAACAAAGAAAGAAAGAGAGAGAATTAAGGGTGGGTGGGCCGTGGGGTTCTATAAAGGCACCTGTCTCGACTAGTCTTGTCTACCACCTTCGAGTGTTATTAGTGACGTACATAGTTTGAAAGGAATATACATAGGAGTAATTTATTTTATACTAGCTCACAATTTGCATCCGAAGAAGTAACCACACGCCCTTGTTTTATATGCACAAAATTAACGGACAACACCTTAACACATGGGGGCAATGCCATTGTCTCCACCGTTTTTAAACTATAAATTTTTACAGGAACTGGCCATGATTTGGTTCATAGACCAAATGTCATAGGGGCGCTACGAACCCTTTCCTGCCCTTTGCAGTTGCACAGGCTCTTGAATTCAACTCCCCGGTGATCAAACTTGGAGAGTGTAGCATTGGATGATCTGATCTCCCTGTAGCATTGGGATGCACGAAACAGCAGCAGAGCTGCTGAGGTCTAACGTTTTCGCTCTTTTTGTACAGAAATTCAAGGTTATGTTTTTTAGACAGCAATAATCTGTCTTCCAGTTAAAAAAGCCTTGTCGAGTTCCAAATATGGTACTATTGACATGCAAGGGAGTTTGTGAGAGCTTAAAGCGTATATAGCGACTAATAAAGGCATGAAAAATCATGGAGACAAGGTCGGGAACATATGGTTTAAATGATTCTTTTTATTTCTACTCTAATCAAGGACATTGTTGTTCAACATATTACATTGATTTTTTTATCTGTTTAATTACGACAATTAGGATTCGATTTTGAAATCAGTTTCATTATCATCAAATTAACAATTCGTTTGTAATATATTACGATGTTCATATCAGGTTCTCTATTTTCATTCTTTTATCTTTATATCATAGTCAAGCATTTTAATGTGGTAAATTAGATTTCCCTTCTACCTCTTATAGAAGTTATAGTACGTCAGAATCACATGCTTGTTTTTTACAATGAAAAGAAACAGACTGTGGAGGAATCTACATTCTCAGGGTTCTTAAAAGGAATAAATAATATAGATGTCTAAAATATGGGTTCTGTAAATTAAGCACTTCCATACACATACAGAGTGATTTTTCAAGTTGTTATTAATTATAGATTTCAAATATACAAAAGCTTCAGAAAATAGGTTAGACTCTTTAGTCTTTATAACCATGAAATATATATTAACATTTTCAACAAAAATACTTACAGGATTAATTGCTTGGAGAGTATTTTCTTTACTTTATTTTAAAGATATCAAGCTAATGACAAAAGGACATGTGACCTACAAATATATTGTGTATATATGTAATAATTATGTGTGTGTTGAGTTAGATCTGTGGCACCAGTTGCTTCCAATAGATAATGTATAAGTTTGCAATTAGACCCTGGAAGAATTCATGTCTAGGGCACTGTATTTATGATTCATAGAGTCAAGACACTGGAAAGAGCCAGGGTAACTTACATGATTAATCATTTATTAATTTATTTATTTTTTTATTTTAATCAGTTAATTATAAAATGTAATATTGTATTAGCCACTAACGTTTTTCTATTTTTTTTTTATTTTAACCACCCGACGGTTAATGATTAACCGAAATCATGACATGGTTTGATGAAAAAACACGTGGCTTAGATTATATAGCTTAATTTTTTTTTAAATAATCTAAAAATGGTTTTTGAAAATCTTTAGTTCGAGGAGTGAGATCCAAAAATAATGTAGGAAAACATAATCTCAGGTCTTATATATTAATAAAGAAACTCAAGTGGGTGATTTAATTGATCAAAATTCATCAATTTTTGATAAAAATTTTTTGAATTTAAATTGTGTGGATAATTATTTATTAAAATAATCTAAAATATATAATTTGTAATTATTTATTTTAAATTATCAAATAGATATATTTGATTTGAAAAATTAAAATTTATTTATCTCAAATTTTTTGTAAAAAAAAAAAACTCAAATAATAAATATTTACCTTTTGGTGGTAAATTATGAAAAGAAAATGAAGGTTTAGCTTTAGCCATTCCCACAAATGATTGGTGACGCATTTGTTCTAGAAGAGAATTTAAAACTGATTTGTGGGTCATTTAACTCTTTTTCTTTTGCACAAAATGCCAGTCGCAAACACGAGCTAGCCTATTAATTAAATAAAATTATCGTAGCTATCACGGTGTTGCGTGAATGACTGAGACGTTGGATAGACGGATAGGATCCAAAGAAATTTGCCTGTGGTTTTCTGCTTAGTCTCTGCATGCGTTTCAATGGATTCTTGTTGAAAGAAACATTTTTAATGAACAAGATTTGTAACCCACCATTTTAGCTTCTTTTGTCTTTCTCTCTTACATTACTCCAGTTTGGTGAAAGTTTTAAATGATATTTTATATTTTAAGTTTGACAAAAAAAATGATATTTCCATGAGATCATTTTGAGAACCTCATTTTCTCACAACCAGGAATTTTTATTTATTTCTATCTCGTAAGTACCTTCAATGTAATGTAGTGATCTCTTTCACAAGAAGGAGGGGTTTAAAAAAAAGGGTTTGAACTTGATTTGCATTGAAAGTAACAACTAACAACTAAGTGAAGGTGGACCCAAGAAAGATTAAAAAATGAAAAGAAAGAAACAGTGAATTACAAATGGATGAAAATGAAATGCGAGTGAGTATGAGAGTGGGTCCCTGGTAGTTTGAAAAACTGTTGTTTTGGTCGCCGACAGCATATCAGGAGCGTAGATTTCTCTGACAAAACGGGGCATCTATGAGTATGCGCTTGCTCTGCTCTTTTTCTTCTCCCTTCTTTCACTTCCTTCCATAGTTCTCACCCTTATCTTATCCCCCTTCTAAATTTCAAATACCGACTCCTTTGGCTTTTTCATTTAACCAAACCCTATTTTTCATTTTAAAAGTAGAAAACAAAGGAGTGGTAGACGTGGAAATGGAATGGAATGGAAGGATTAGTCTACAAAAGATTTGACTAAATATAAACAAGGAGACAAAACTAGGAAAATGTGAGAATGACAAAACCAGGGAAGGTCGGGAGGGAGTGGCTAATGGCTCCCACCGTCCCGCATGATTAAATGATCATTTTGAGTGCTCCAAAATTCCATTTGGCCTAACCTA